CTCCTCGCTCCCCTCCCTAGTCGTTCCAACGAGATGCGACACGCCCGCAGCCACAGTTTGCGGCTCCCGCTCATCAGGATTGGCCGAGTGCGAGAGGGGCGGCTCGTCCACGGGAACGCCGCCTACAGGGTCAGTGGCTTTGGACGACACTCCGAAGACTGAGAAGGCGTGCGTGGCGCGAGCGACGTGCAGCGCCAGCAGGAAAACCACGAGGAAACGTAGGAACGCCATCGCGAGAACAACAGGAGACGAGAATGTGCTCGCCCGAAGTGACCACAAACAGATACGACTGCCACCAACAACCAACTTACGAGGAAATGTAAGGCAGAATTGCTGGAAGAAAAGCGAGAACAAAACAATCCAGGAGGGAGTGCCAAAGAGAAATGGTGCCAGAAAGCAATTCGACGAGCGAGACTCAAGCAAGGGACTCGCAAATCTGCGGCTCCTCTTCATGGTATACACGTGTCACGGAGCGAGGAGTGTAGCCCCGCTCCTGCCTTACCATGCGTTCGAGTTATGAGAACACGGCGCGCCACCGCAAATGCGAGAGAAATGAATATCTGTACTTAATGCGAACACAGATTTCTCAAATTTCATAACCTAGTATAAATTATTGAAATAACCATCAGCCAAGCTGCTTGGAGCTGGTCATATTAATTTATGAAATTAGCTAAAGAATGAATTCAATAATAATTACACCCAATGTTCATAAAAGACGCCAACGTTATCAGCTAACTAAAGTACTGACATATCAGCCAACTGAAGCCACTCCGCCCATACCTCGTGACACTGAGAAAATCAATCCACGGCTGGTGCGGAAGGTTGTCTCTCTTTTGGTTTCCTCCCCTCCACCCCACCGCCGAACCAGCTGCCGAACCTGAGTCTGCTTGATCGTTCGGCTTTTCAAACCTGCACTGATAAGGAAGAAGCCTCTGTCAAATACACTGCGCTTGCCTTGGCTATCAAGCTGGCATGGCACCTGCATTATTGGTTTGACTTGTGATAGTGACTGAAGCGAAGGTGCTTGCGGGTAGAAGCTGTCTACAGTAATGCTAGTGGTACAGTCGCTGCCACTGCTGCTGCTGTTGTAGAAATTCCCATCTCCATCTCCATCCTCGTTACTGCTGTTCCCATTACTGCTGCTGCATTCCTGCACATCGTTGAAGTTTTCATTTGCTTCTGTTGTCAAAACATCATTGTCTTTCCCCGCAGGACAGTCCCTCGCAGAGCCACCGCAGTTTTCCCTCCCGCTTGCGCTCGCCTGGAAGCTGCTCACGCGGCCAATCAAGGTGATCGGACAGGGAGCATTTTCGGAGCAAAACGAAGCAACGCGTCGCATCCGCGAATCGGCGGAGGCGAAGGCTTTCGCGGTGGCGGCGGAGGTGGAGGAAACGGAGGAAGGGGGGAATGCGGAGATAGGGGACGCGGAAGAAAGGGGGAGCGAGGGGAGGAAGGGGAGGAGCGTGGAGCAGTCGTGCGCGGGGAGAAGGAGGAGGTCAGCCTCGACTGAGTGACAGCAGTCGACGAGGGAACGCGCGAAGGAGAGACCTTGGCCGGCGGACGGCAGGCGAACGGCCTCGAAGCGAGCCATCTCTTGCGATCCAATGGTGGCGAGTTTCAGAAGCGCCGATCGCGATTTTTTATCCCAGTCGCTGAAATGATCATCGAGCGGTAGTCCTGGGACGATGACTGTGTTTTTTACGACGGCTGTCGCCTTCCCTCTTGGTGCCTTCGTCGCTTGTCGCAGCACGTCGCCCACATCGCCGGCGCGGCGCTTGCTTGTGCTACTTTGCGACGAAGACGCAATGTCGCCAATCGTCGTCATCGACGACGACCGGGTGTGGCGACTGGAACCGCCGGCGATCGCTGCGACGATTCGGTCGTCCGGTTGCTGGCCGTCGCGCAGCCACTGTGCGAATGCGTTGCGACATTCGCGACAGCCATCCACTCCGATGACGACAGTTCGTCCTTCGCCAACACTGTAGATCGGACTTAGGGGCGTGGACACAGCCAGTTTCCGCAAAGCGCTGCGCGCCATTTGCAGCGAATCGGCACCTCTAGCGACTCGGATGTCACTCGCACGTTACGACAGGTTTCCGTTGGAAAGTCTGCCTTAACCCTTCAACTTCAACTGACGCACTCCGTCACAGGGGTTTCAGTGTGAAGCAGGTCGAAGCTTTCGGTCGACTATTAGTAGAAGCCATGCGGTTTTCGTCCTCGAGCTTGTATGTACTATATACGGACGATGCTATTCTCTGATTTTCAGTGGGCAGGAAGACGGTCGTGGGGATGAACGTTGCTTCCAAGTTTGGCCTAAAATACGGGGACGAGGTTAACGGCTCTGATAATACCGCATCCTCACTACAAAACGCGACGACTCCGATTCGTGTGGAGCGGAACCAACGGAATGATGACAACACAGCACTCGAATGAGGCGAGTTGAGGAAGGTCGATTGTAACAGTCGTTTTCCAGTCTCGTCTTCATTACACCGTAGTAGACCGCAGTATATCGTGTGAATGCACGCCCGTCTCGGGGTCATCGCGTCCCGGCTGACTCGAATCAGGTCAGGCCGCTGGGTCGCCTCACGCCTGGTTGTAAAAAACGGCGTTTTTGTGCGTAAGTAGCGCTACATATGTTTGTCAGCTGACAGCTGTATGCGACGCGGCTACCATCGTTACTTACGTCCCGCCCTCCTTCACCTGTGTCCTCCGCTCCTTCGTTGTCTCCTCGTCTTGTCATGTACGCTATGGCTTGTGACGCGACAAGGCGATTCAGTACTGTACATCGCTGTACAGTACCAAAATCTGCTTCAACAGACTCGTGGCTCCTCTCCCCCCTGCTCTTCTGTGCGTACAGTTTCTCCCTCCTCCCGCTTTCCTCTCGACTACGTTCCATTCCATAGCTGCTTGTGTTTGCTCGCACCCGTCGACTCTCCAGACCAGACCACACACAGACAGTGCTGCAAAATTTGTCACCACAACACAACATACACCCTCTTTCTCAACCTTTTCACCTTGCGCGACTTGTCGCTACAGTACTTGTCTCATGCGATCTGGTGCCAATAAACGTTCCTAGGCAACCTGGGGGGAAAGCCGGACCACGTGACAAACTGGCTCAAGGACGTAAAATCTCCGTAATCGCTTAATAACTTTCCCAAATAGATGAAAACGTTGACAACGCTTTTTGTAAAGTGCATAACCTTACCTAACCGCATTCTTCGCATTGTGCTTGTACAGTAGGTGACAAGACCGACAAGACCATTCTGAACGTGGTGACGTTCTACAATCCATGTACGCTCTCCAACCAGGTGCTCTACTAGCGCGAAATAGGGTGTACAGGACCAGCGTAGTCAACGGGGACGGAGAGTCATGACTCACAGTCGAGACAGGTCGAGGGATCCATCTCGCCCGAGGCCCCGGGCTTGAAGGGGGACAATGCCCTCGGCGTGGTCACCACTCCGCGAAGCCTACTGAGTGGTTGCGTGGTTGCGCAAGGGGACGGGGATGCTTGCGCCAAGCTTGCTGACTAAGGGGAGCCATGCAGCGAGACAGTTGCCTGGGTGGCAGGCGCCATCACCATGGATCCATCGCACCACCCAACAGTGCAAGATTTCCATGTCTGCTTCAACTTTTGTGGCTTGCCTGCGTGTGGTTACTCATGGGGAAAATAGAATCTCGCGAATAAGTGCGTGATGCTGCACTGTAACCACTAGCTTTCGTTAGTAGTTCGCATCAAAGGGTCACGACTCACGACACGAGTCAATGTTTCTGCGAGGATGGTGATTGCTGGAAAGTTTGATTCGCATGAATAATTCATGAACCTGTGTGACACCTGCGCTGCGAGGTCAGACGATTTCGCGAGCGAGTTACCGACCGAGAGAGACAACGTGGACTGATCTGAAAGTGTAAACAGTGCACAACGTGCGCAAACAAACAACGTTGGAAGCGGAAACAACCGTCACAGGCAAGGAGTCAGGTCAGGAGCGTCAGGGAGGAGTTCCCTTGACGTGTCACGTCAGGCCCTCAGATTTCAGGAATTTTACCCTGATTTTGACTTTGAGCCCTGATTTTCAGGGTTTTTTTTGGACCCAGCACTGATGAAAAAGTTTTTTTTTTCCTGTTCATACTTTATTTCCAGCGAGAAATTTTGTACAAGGCCTGAAATTTCAGCTTAAAGCCCGCGGCCCAAATTGCAAGCCGCGCGGTTCAAGTTTTTAAAACTTGTTCCCCTGACTTTCGGGTTACCAGGTTTCTGGGAGACAGAGGTCCGCGCGACACAACTCAGGCTGTGAGCCAATGAGAGTTGACTACCCCTATGTTGAGAACCAATGAGATTGAACACAAATGTCTTCAGTCGCAAACCAGGGCTCGGCAGAACCAACACACACCCAAAAACTTGAAAACGAGGGTGTGCAATTTGGGACTCTTGGACACAAACAAGTACCCGCTGCACTAACAAAAAAGCCCACGCACAACTCGAACGCACAGTAGGAACGGCCATGGCACGCCTGCTCTCAATCGTAATGCTATATACTGGGAACTATGGCAAGCTAGCAGCGGAAAATAGGGGCATTGATGGTGCTGGTGCTATTGCCTGTTTCTGGCACCTCCGAGCAGAGCGCACATCCAGACGATGCGACGGCGATGGTCGCGTTCGTCGTATGACCGAAGGTCGTTTAGATAGTAGTCCCAACCATGCCGGCACTCCGTCGACTTGCCATGTCGACGAAGCTGCTCGCAGGGTTGGTACATCGCGCTGCGTCACTTCGCGCAGCGTTTCGACGCCTTGCGCCTCGACGCGCTGCGTCTCATGGCGTAGACAGAGATCGCGTGGGGTTTCATCGCGCATCCTCGTCGCTCTCTACGCCTCGGACCGGAAAAAAGCCCTGTCGTCATTCGAATCGCGTGAGCGACCTCATGGAAATCCGCGCAGCCCTTTGGTTTACGGTCCGTATTTGAAATGATCACTGCGCAAACAAGTACCCAATGCAAAGTATGCGATGTTCCCTGAACCTCCCCCTCCCATCGCCTCCACTTCCCCCTCCCGTCGCCTCATCTTCCCCATCCCGTCGCCTCATCTTCCCCCTCACGTCACCTCAACTTCCCCCTCCCGTCGCCTCCACTTCCCCCTCCCGTCGCCTCCACTTCCCCCTCCCGTCGCCTCCACTTCCCCCTCCCGTCGCCTCCACTTCCCCCTCCCGTCGCCTCCACTTCCCCCTCCCTTCGCCTCCACTTCCCCCTCCCGTCGCCTCCACTTCCCCCTCCCGTCGCCTCCACTTCCCCCTCCCGTCGCCTCCACTTCCCCCTCCCGTCGCATCCACTTCCCCATCCCATCGCAAGCACTTCCCCCTCCCGCCCCCTCCACTTCCCCTTCCCGTCGCCTTCGCTTCCTGCTCACTCTCTCCCCACTGTCCCCATTTCCCCTCCCCACCCTTCCCCGCCGCCCGTCCGTGGGCAGCAAAGTGGCGTCCCTTTTGCGCCATCGTGATCAAAGCTCCTTCCGTCGCCACCCTATTCTTCCCCTCGCACCTCCCCTCTCCTCACCTCATTTCCCTCCTCTCCCCTTCCCTCTTCGTTCCGCCGCATACTCTCATAGCCTTGCGTCCCCTACGTCCCATAGGCTCTCTGTATCCTTCTCTCCTTTCCGCCCCTCCGTGTGGGCTCCCCCTCTCCAACATTCACTGCTGTCCCGCTCCCGTGCCACGGCGATCGCCATCAAGGTCGAGTCCGGGCCTGGCTCCTCGTGTGAGGGGTGTAGCAAACTTTCTCTCCTTCCATCCCCCCTTTCCATCCTCCCCCCCCCACTCTCCCCCTCTCGCCCCTCCTCCCCACCCAGGCGAGTGGCGATCTGGCGGCACTTGCGCGTGTTTTACGCACATGTGGCAATGAGTGCGCAGCTCATATCGGCGCCCTCAGGCCAGGCCAGGCCCCAGCGTAAAAAACTAAAAACTGTCAGATGCCAACCTCTCTCCCCTCCCCCTCCTTAATCCCCTCCTGCTCGCCTCCCTCGCCGTGAGGTCTAAGGAACCTCGTATTCCCACATCGGCTCGTGTCTCCCCCACATCTCCCCCCTCTCTCCTCCTCCTCCTCCCCCCACCCACTGCCGGCCCGCCTGCCAAACTCATCCACATTTCTTTCCCCCATCCGCTATCATCAACGCCCTATTAGGACAAGCCGTAGAGGGAGGGCCTCCTCACGCGCCCTCGAAACCCATCTCTCCCCATCTCCCCCCACCTCAACCCCCCCCTTTCCCACACTTTCCCCGTCCCCACCCTCCCTACTCTCCCCACCTCTGTCCCCCTTCCTACCCCAGGCGAGGCCCCCTCTCCCTCTACCCCACACTCTTGCTTCCTCACCCGGGCTCCCCCTCACTCTTTGCACGCTGCTCTCTTCTTCCCACCCAATTTCTTCCAATCGTTCTCTCAGAAAATCATTTCCGTTTTTCCTGCCCCTCCTCTCTATTCCTCCCCCTCCCCTCTCAGGCAATTAATGCAATCACAGACAAGCACGTGCCACATGTCCCAAAGCCCTTCCATCCGGCCCTTTCTTCCTCTCCTCTCCTCTCCCTTTCGGCCACCCCCCTCCCTTCTCTGCCTGCCATCAGGTCATTGCAAGCACCGACAAGAACAAGCCACCAAGTCCCTGTTCCAAGGCCCCTCGCTTCTCCTGACCCTGCTGCCGAGCCTGTTCCCAGACCTGCCTCCGAACCTGAAGCTCATGGCAAGAGGGAGGGAATGACAGCGGGTGGTATGGAAGCAGGGAGGGAGGGGAGGAGGGAAGGATGACACAAGGGAGTGAGAGTGAGGGAGGTGAGGGGTAAGGGGAAGGGTGGGAGAAGGAGGAAGAGTTGGAGGAGGAGGACAAGGAGTGGGATGATGAAGTGGAGTTCTAGGAGGCACAGGTGAGAGCTGCACCACACTGCTGCTGGGCTGGGACACATACCCACCCTCTTTTGTGAAGCTTCCTGACTATCTAACAGGGGGACTACTTACCCTGGCCACCCTGTTGTGCCTGTGTTGTTCCTCAGATGGTCTTACCCCTACTTCCCCCCTTCTTACCCCCTCGTCCTCTCCTCTCTCCTGCATTGGTGCATGTGTCCTGTTTTGTCTGTGGATGCTGTGGGCAGCAGAGGAGGAACTATACGGGGAGAAGATACTTTCAGTTGACAGCCTGACCTCAGGTGGTCTCCACCTGTCAGGTGAAATGACAGTGTGAGATTCTATGGTGCCACCCATACACCAACCCCCGCTCCCCTCTCCTCACCGTTTGCCCTTCGGCTGTGTCCCGCTGCTCAACCCCATTTGCTCAGACTTCTATTCTATGCTCTCATCTCACCTTTCCATTCTCCCCTCCCTCCGTTCTTTAACTCTATCCCCTTCCACCTCCTCCCCTTTCTCTGTTTGTTGTGCGCTGACTTCTTCTGCCACACCTGGTTCCATGAGGTGCGGTTGGTGGGAGGCATAGAGATCTTGGGATGCGTCTCAAGAGTTGGCTTGAGTCTGCACCGGGTGTGTTCTGTGTGTTGTGCGCCAAGTTATTTCGTCACTGCTGCTTTCATGAGGTCAAGTTAGAGGATGAGAGTGGTTCTATTGAAAGGGGGGCGGTGAGTAACCCAACGAAGCGCTTGCACCTACAAGCTAAGGTTTATGTGAATGCGTGCATCACGAATTTCACGGGCTCGCCCATGCATGTCTCTCATGCCCCCATGCCCATGCCTCATTCTCCATGCGATGGCGAAGGTGGGTGCATTGAAGATGGTCAAGTGGCGTCGCTATTTACTGAGCGAAAGTGAGGTTTCCCACGTAGTGCCATATGACGTTATCCGCGCTGGCATTCAGTGTTTGATATTCCGCCGCATTCCGATGCTTTCAGAATGCGCCGACGTTCGTGCCGTGTCTACGGCTTTTTCGTACCTTCGGGAAGCATCCTTTCCAGGGCGACGGGCCATATTCCCTATCTCGCCGTCTCGAATGAAGTGATTCTGTTTGTTGATGACGGTCGTGTGACGTTTTTTATCTCAACTGCAACCTTTATGGCTGTCGTAATGCTAAGGATTTGGCAGTTTTATCATCCGCGACGCAAGTGTGCTTGCTCGTGCCGCCTACTGTAGTTGGCTGCTGTATGCAGTATCAAGTACTAGCGGGCCTCATCATGGTTGGTTGTCGAAAGCCTAGGTCATGGTGTTGTGTGTGTGGCAGCGCAAGAGCTGCGGAAGTGTTGTGTTGTGTGTTTTTTGGTCGCGGTGTGTGGTGCGCCGTGCGACAATTTCTATTGGCTGGTTTTCTATTGTTTGACTCGGCTGTTCGCTAAACAATTCTCGATTTCGCTTACTGGGTGTGCCTTCTTTCGGCTCCCAACTTTCACTTTCACACCCCTCGCCACCCGTTGTTCCCCTGGGCCAAGTTTTAAAAACTTGTGCAATTTGGGCCAACGGCTTTAAATTTGGTAGAGGACCCTGATTCGAATCATACAGTAGCGAGGCCATCCTCGATGCTGACTTGGCCTAGATTCAATGGATACAGCAAAAATTTCGCCCGGATTTTCCGCCGTCACCGTCAATCACGGGAAACGGCATCTTTGCTGTACTTCCACTCTCACCTCACTTAATGTGTTGTCGCCATCATCTTTCAAATTCGGGTGTGATTGGGCAGTTTCGGCTAATCCCACGCCGTACCCAATCACGTTGCCATGACCGGCAAGATTCCACGGCTTGTCGGTTTTAACCGAGTCGCTGTGGAATCTGGATGTGCCATCGGGGACCATCCACACCTGCATGGTGGGGTTCGTTTGTGAGTGTCAACCAATCACGTGCGAGGTGGGGTGTCCCTCCCTTGCCCATCTTCTTCTCCCCGTTCTTAGATTGTGTTTGCCGTGCTTCACTCTCTGTTTTCTTGGCTGACTCTCTCCACCTTCTCCTCTCATCCTTACTGCCACCATGGCTCTTCCCATGGACGGCGATGCTGCAGGCGACGAGCCTGACGACATTGAGGGCGAGATAGCACACACGGTCTAGACCTGTTGATGTTCTCGCTTTCCAAAGCAACCAATCCCTGGCGTAGCAAGAACCATACAGATACTACACCTACAGCAATTCCTACCGTTACTTCCGCCCCACCAGATTCGATTGGCGCCACAGTCTTAGATAAAACAACGCCACGCACGAATGGTGAGGAAGATATACCGATGACGGTACATTTTTCCCCGTCGACACCAGCAGAGGCTTCCCCGACTTCTCCAATCATTCCTCCGCCATCCGCTTCTCGCCCCGACCCCGCAGCATCGCAACGACCTCCTCCCGACGTGGCCCCCCGGCTTCTCGCCTCGTTCCACCTGCATCTCACCCTCCAGCAGCTGCCTCGGCGTCCCCGGCTTGTCGCCTCGTTCAGTCTAAGCTTAACTTCATTCGCGACAAATCTGCGCCATCAGCGGCACCGACCGACGTCCCGCTTCCGCCTGTACCCGAGGCTGCGGCCTCTAACCAGCCGTCAGCTACTGCCGATGAGATTTACGCCGTTGCTCTCGACAGGTTCAAATCGAGGTGGCAGGGTCAATTTGCCTGGCTGCAGCTTGTGAAAACTGCAACTGGTCTCCCTGCTTTTAAGTGTTCGTTGTGCTTGGAACATGCAGGACTGTCTGGCAAGACCGGGAAGGGTAGCGAAGGAGCAGTCGACGTCCAGAAGCAGGCTTTCACGCGACACGCTGCCACCAACAAGCACAAACTCGCGATACAACGGCAGGATCAGCTCGTTGGTGCGACGAGGCAGCCGCGGATTGACGAGCATCCTCTCGCGCACGACAGCGAAAAGGTCCGGGTGATATCACTGTTGGACGCTCTCCTCTTTGTCAGCAAGGAGGACGCACCCATGGAGCTTTGGGTGGGATTGGTGCGATACTTGGCTGAGAGGGGAGTCCCCGGTTTCCCGAAGAAGGGGTACGGGACATACTACACCACGTAAGTTTATTTTCTTGTATTGTCTTTTCTTTGTAGGGTTTATAAAGCTCATCTTAATCATCCCGATGTTGCGTTGCTCTTCCGCCAGGTACGGATTTGGGGAGCTGACGCAGTCTATAGCAACATGGCTGCAGACAACACAGCTGGAGAAGATCCTAGCAAGTCCCTACATCGGCATTTCGTGCGATGAGAGCACCGACCGCTGCAGAGGCAAGCACTTAATTTTGTTCGTCACTTTCATCCGCGACCACCGCCTCGTCACCGAGTTCATGGCGCTCCTGACGGTTGAGAAGGCGGATGCTGCGTCACTGTTGCAGTTGCTGCTGTCCCACGTGCAGGCATGTGGCGTTGACCTTCGGCGCATCGTGGGGATCAGCACTGATGGTGCTTCCGTCATGATGGGTTCAAGGTCGGGCTTGGTGGCACGTTTGCGGCTTCGCATACCTCACCTCGTCTCCTGCCACTGTATTGCACACCGGTGAGTGTCTATGGTTCTCTGCAGTGTTGTCAAACCCTTTGGTTGTATTATATTATAATCCACTGCTTACTGTAATTGTGCTTGCAGGGAGGCCCTTGCTGCTAAGGATGCAGCAGACAGCATGCCAGTCTTCGGAATGATCGACAGCACCATCCGCGCCATTGCAGAGCACCTGGGCCGTTCGGGTCCATGGCATCAGCGCTTCATGGACCTGCAGGAAGTCTTCTCCCAAACATTCCTGGAGCTGCAAGGGATTCACAACGTGCGGTGGCTATCACGTGGTGATGCCATCGCCAGGTTTGTGGCGGTCCTGCCTGCCGTCATCACGATGCTGAAGGAGTGGAATGAGGAGCTGTATACTGTGGTGACGTCGTACATGTTTCACTTTCTCCTCCTCTTCCTGTCCGATGTCCTTGACCAGATGAACGTCCTGAGTAGGACATTCCAGCGACGCGAGGTGCGTTTTTGTGGTCATGCCGAGTAATTGCCATGGTTTAATCTTTATACACAGGCTTGTTATTTTTTTTTTTGTCATGACTCGCACTGTTCAACCTAACTAACACCTCTCTGTCTTCTGTTTTGCTTCCTCCCCAGCTCGATCTAGCAGCTGTTCATGCGCAGATTCGGCGTACAACGGGACATCTCGAGGCTCGCTACGTTGACTGTGGGGACGAGTTCGGCGCCGGTCTCAGTCCAAGGCTCTCACCATGGCTAGAGAAGCATGGTCCTGAAGGCACCCGGGAGGTCATCATCGAGGGCGTTGACTCGGACGGGCAGCCGAGCACATTCACATTCATCTTGCATGAAGACAAGCTTCCAGACTACCCTGGACCAGGGCACCACGACCAGGCCCTCAGATTTCAGGAATTTTACCCTGATTTTGACTTTGAACCCTGATTTTCAGGGTTTTTTTTGGACCCAACACTGATGAAAAAGTTTGTTTTTTCCTGTTCATACTTTATTTCCAGCGAGAAATTTTGTACAAGGCCTGAAATTTCAGCTTAAATTTGGCAGAGGACCCTGATTCGAATCATACAGTAGCGAGGCCATCCTCGATGCTGACTTGGCCTAGATTCAATGGATACAGCAAAATTTTCGCCCGGATTTTCCGCCGTCACCGTCAATCACGGGAAACGGCATCTTTGCTGTACTTCCACTCTCACCTCACTTAATGTGTTGTCGCCATCATCTTTCAAATTCGGGTGTGATTGGGCAGTTTCGGCTAATCCCACGCCGTACCCAATCACGTTGCCATGACCGGCAAGATTCCACGGCTTGTCGGTTTTAACCGAGTCGCTGTGGAATCTGGATGTGCCATCGGGGACCATCCACACCTGCATGGTGGGGTTCGTTTGTGAGTGTCAACCAATCACGTGCGAGGTGGGGTGTCCCTCCCTTGCCCATCTTCTTCTCCCCGTTCTTAGATTGTGTTTGCCGTGCTTCACTCTCTGTTTTCTCGGCTGACTCTCTCCACCTTCTCCTCTCATCCTTACTTCCACCATGGCTCTTCCCATGGACGGCGATGCTGCAGGCGACGAGCCTGACGACATTGAGGGCGAGATAGCACACACGGGTCTAGACCTGTTGATGTGCTCGCTTTCCAAAGCAACCAATCCCCGGCGTAGCAAGAACCATACAGATACTACACCTACAGCAATTCCTACCGTTACTTCCGCCCCACCAGATTCGATTGGCGCCACAGTCTTAGATAAAACAACGCCACGCACGAATGGTGAGGAAGATATACCGATGACGGTACATTTTTCCCCGTCGACACCAGCAAAGGCTTCCCCGACTTCTCCAATCATTCCTCCGCCATCCGCTTCTCGCCCCGACCCCGCAGCATCGCAACGACCTCCTCCCGACGTGGCCTCCCCGGCTTCTCGCCTCGTTCCACCTGCATCTCACCCTCCAGCAGCTGCCTCGGCGTCCCCGGCTTGTCGCCTCGTTCAGTCTAAGCTTAACTTCATTCGCGACAAATCTGCGCCATCAGCGGCACCGACCGACGTCCCGCTTCCGCCTGTACCCGAGGCT